TAGCGGCAGCATTCATGGTGGTATTCGGAATCAGCATCGTCGACTACCTATAGTCCAGTCGGTTTCGTTGAAAAAGCGATTTATCAGTTGGGGATCATTCCTCGTAAGTTTAGAACTGGATTTCGGATTCTGCAGTAAAAAGTTGGTTCAAAAAATTTTTTTAATAGTTAATTCTAACTAAATTGACATTCTCCAATGATAATGTCTATCTAGGTTCATTTATCGCAAGACTTTTACGTAGCTTCTTTGTTTTTCTGCCACTTTATTCAGAGTAAACTGTTTTAAACTTGAAAATTAGTTGGAAAGTCAAGCGAAAATTTTAAGTACTAATGTGTTGTAAAAAGAATGACTTCTTTGCTTGTCTCAAATACAGAACTGTTTTTCACATTTTGGAGGAGTTCAAAACGAGATACTACGCTTTTAAAAAGCTCTTACTAAATTCTTGGAGTTTTTAGAAAACACATACGAGCTTTTTGGAAAATACAAGAGCTCGTTAAAAACTGAAAAACAGTTTCCTATATGGAACAAACGTAAAACAGATCTTCCTTTGTTTTTCTAATTCTCTTAAACATGAATACCACGTTTTCTTTTGCCGTGATATTATTTTGTTACTACTGTCGCCGAAAGCATTTCAGAATACTTTGATTTTTTCTGTAAAAATGGGATTTAACGTTCCACAGCTCAGTGGGTAGGAGAATGATGTGATAAATCAACACTAATACTACTACTCGGTCATTGAATAGAATTGTATCAGCATTATTCATGGATAAAAAAACTAATGTAAGAGATAATTTATTTATTATGAAAGACGAAACAATATGCTATGAACTATGCGTAAAAAAGGACGTCAAATTGTCAAACTCAATGATCGACAGCAGTGTTTATTACCGACATTTATCGTGTCTTAAAAATCGATATTTACATTTTCCCGAACAACAAACATGATTTTTTCCATGACAATGTTCGCCAGTTTTTTTACATGTTTTCGGGTTAACATTACCAGTGCCAAATACATGCTTTTTAATGTCACTTGCTAAACGTCTTTGACGATAATGTTGTTCTTGTTGTTGAGAATCAACAACTAATAGACCAAGTACAAGAAGAGCAACGATGAAAAACACGATTAATAAACGCATTGCTAATGTCAAACAGCTAAACAGTCAAAACACAGCACATCTATTAACTTGAAATTGACGATGAAAAAAGCTCTAAAAAGTTTATAATCTATGGAAAGATTATGGAAATATATGATCAAATTCTTCAATCAAGGTTGCATGCGATGGATATGAAGGTTGGACTATAGAGTACACCGTAGTAAGAAATACAAAACTGCTACAAACATGATTCATACAAATCACAGTGCTATTATTTTGATTTATTATTGATATTTCGACGATGTTCACTCGTCATCATCAGAATAAACGAATGACGCCAGATTTGATTCAATAAGAGTACAAAAAAGAAAAAGAACAGAAAATTAGACAATTAAGTAGATGTCTTTTTATCCATATGATCGATCGTATGAATCATGTTTGTAGCAGTTTTGTATTTCTTACTACGGTTTTTCAATATTACTGCTGTACCAAAACATTTTATAGAGTACACGTTTTACAACAATTTTTCCTTCAGAGAGCCATAGTATTCTACCAATGTTTGCCATTTCTAGCCGATAGTTCATAAAAGAATCTTCAATGTTACTTACGTGTACTAGAGTATGTACGTGCGTGTTCTGAGTTATATGTCAATTTCGATTCTCTGATGAATGAATAGAGAAAAAATATGTTTGACCAAGCAATAAGTTCAAGTTAAGATTTCATTATTGTTTATCTCGAATTCAATCCGAATGCAGATAGCTAGTGAATATTGAACATGTAAATACAGACATAAACGCTTACATTCCATTTGGAAAGGAAAGAACACTATACTGTACTTAAAAAGAAAACAAACAAATATTCTAAGTGGGTTTCGATATAAAAAACACGTATTCATATCTTGAAGTTTAACTTTATACTTGTTATCATAGACATTCGATGATTCTTTTTGTCCTCATATGACCTTCTCTAGTTCATTAACGACTGGTTGTTATAGAATCATTGTAATGATTCTAAACAAGAGATAAGATTCGTAGATATAGTTCTATCTTCACCTAATTAAAGAGAAAAACCTAGTTCGTACATAACTGCAGGGATTTTTTGGAAATAAAGTGTTTTTCATATAGCTCAGTTTTAACAAAGTTTTGGAAAACGTATAATGTAACAATCGTAGAAACCATTAAAGAATAACTTTTCTTTTTAATAAAGTGTTCAGCATTACTAAGTTTTATGGCGAATTTTGCTGATTGTGATATGATGTTCTATTATAGTCAAAAGAATATGCCTGCAAAATGACAAATATTACCGAGTATTCTTATTTATCATCAACCGACATTCCAGCGACCCAACATTAGACACTTTTCAATATAACCATTTTCCGATCAGAAAATGGCATGATTGTTCGAGGTGAGGGTGGTGCCAAATCTTTCAGCTATACGTGCCCAGGCAGACATTTTTTTAGACCAAACGCACTGCCAAACGCCTTTTTTTGCACTAAAAACGTGTCTGAACGCGTTTTCTTACAACTGAAACGCGTTTGGACGCGTTACTCGGTGATAAATGCGTTTAAATACGTTAGAATGAAACGCGTTTTTGGCTGTGTCAGAAACTGACGCGCCAAACGGCTGTGAAAATAAACTCATTTTACCGCGTTCAAACGACTAACACGTTCGGACGCATTCAAGTTAAGCGCGTTTGGACGCGTTAATGTCTCCCAAACGCATTTGAACGCAACAGAAACAAATGCGTTT